TGGCCATCCCCCCTGGGGGGTGATTTCTCGCTTTCTGTCTCTCTGTCTCTGTCTGTCTGTCTGGTGAGCGCAAGCGCCCTATAGCAAAAAAACAAAAACAAAAACCTCTCCCCCCCCAAAAAAAAAGAAAAGAAAAAGAAATTTATACTGTAAAGATATGGGATAAAATTTAAAAATAAATAAATATACTTAATTTTATTAAAAATGCATATTATGAAAAAGCTATGCATGGGGGCCAATAGGTGGCATAGTGGTCAAAGCCGCTGGACTCCCACATGGCCGACCACGGTTCGAGTTCTGGACCCGGTGACTTTCTTTCTCGCTTTCCCTCTCTCTCTCTCTCACACACACACACACACACTCACTCTGTCCCTCACTGGTCAAATTAAAATAAATAAAATTAGGGACTGGTAGTTGGCATAATGGCTATGTTACTGGACTCCCATGTAGTCAACCATGGTTTGAGTCTTGGACCTGGTAGCTTAAACTCATGCCGGGCCCATGTGCACGCATGCCCGAGATCCCGAGAGAAGAATGGAGAAGAAGGGATTGCAGTGTGGCCATCCCCCCTGGGGGGGTGATTTCTCACTTTCTGTCTCTCTGTCTCTTTCTGTCTTTCTAGCGAGCAGAACTTCTCCAAAGAAAATTAAATTAAATTAAATTAATAAAGTTAAATAAACTAATTTTTAAAAAAGCTTTGCATCGATTTCAAAGATTTTTTTTTTTCTTTTTTGGAGAGGTTTTTGCTATAGGGTGTGTGCGCTCGCCAGACAGACAGAGAGACAGAAAGTAAGAAATTCTCCCCGGGGGAGGATGGCCATGCCACAATCCTTTCTCCTCCGTTCTCCTCTTGGGATTTTGGACACGCACGCACACGCGCCCGGCATGAGTTTTAAGCCACTGGGTCCAGTACGTGAACCGCGGTCAACTACGTGGGAGTCCAGCGACATAGCCATTACGCTAACTGCTGGTCCCTCAAAGATTTTTTTTGGCACCAAAATAAAATCCATACTTTAATTCCTTTTTCTATGGACTTTTTAAAGTCCCTCATGCAATACCAAGCAAATCACATTCCCTTTCTGAGGTTCAGTTTCTCTTTCCACAAAGTGATGATAATAATGGCAGCTTCTTGAGGGATTTTCCAAGTAGAATGTTAATGGAAGTGCTCAAAAAATGATGTCATTTTTATTTATTGTAATTCTATAATTAATAGTGTGGTTGTGAAGTTTGGGAAGATGAGGTACAGAGCTCAAAAAAATTATGTTGTTTATGGGGACCAGCAGGTGGCGTTGTCGTTAAGGTGCTGGACACTCACACATCGCCAACCACGATTCGAGTCCTAGACCTGGTTGCTTCCTTTCTTCCTTTCCTTCTCTCTCTCTCTCTCTGTGTGTCCCTCTCTGCATCCCTTTGCCTTCCACTTTCCACTTCTGTAATGAAAGGGTGCACATCAGAGCCTCATACCCGAGGAAGGGAGTTCAGCTGTTTGGTTTTAGTTCCGTTCTTTGGGGCTGGTTTAGCTCTATCCAAGGAATGAAGAAGGAGGAAAGAGGGGGGTCCAAAACCAGAATTTTGTAATCCTTGAGTCCTGAGGCACAGCTGTTAGAGTCAAACAAATCCAGATTGAGAGCCTGAGTCTAGGGCACTCACCGATCTCACAGTTCTCCCCAGCGAAGCCCTGGTCACAGCTACAGCCATACATCGTGTCGTTGGCATTACAGGTCCCCCCATGCAGACAAGGGTTGTTCTCACAGGGATCCGAGGAGACTGCAAGAGAGATGGGCAATGTGAGGTGTCAGGCCACCTGGTCATCTGCATCCTTGGAATTTAAATACCAGGACCCCAAAGGCCCTCTCTTCAAAGTACTCTCTGTGGGCCCCTCAATAACTACCCCAGCAGATGGGCACCAACTCTTCTCACTGCTTCTATGGCCAAAAGCTTACTACTGGGGTCAACAGGTGGCGTACTGGTTAAGGCACTGGACTCCCACGTAATTGACCATGGTTCGAGTCCTGGACCTGGTGGCTTCAAACTCATGCTGAACACGTGTGCATGTGTGCCCCCAGGAGAGAGTAGAAGAGAAGGGATTATGGCCTGGCCATTCCTGGAGGGCAGGTAATTTCTCTCTCTCTCTCTCTCTGTCTCTGTCTCTCTGGTGAGTGCACGCATCCTATAGCAAAAATGTCTCTAAATAAATAAACAAGTTTATTCCTGGGCCAGCAGTTGGCATGGTGGTTAAGACGCTGGACTTCCACATGGTTGACCATGATTCAAGACCCAGACCCGACAGCTAGCTTTCTCATTTTCCCTTTCTCTTTCTTTTTCTCTATGTCTGCTTCTCTCTGGTGAGCTTCAGTGCTCTATAACAAGTTAAATAACAATAATAAAGTGAATAATAATTGTTTTTAATAATTATTTCATTTTATTTATTCATTCATTTTAATTCTTTTTTTGTTTGTTTTGTAATTAGAGGTTGTTGCTATAGGGAGCATGCACTCACCAGAAAGACAGAGAGAGACAGAGAAACAGAGAGCGAGAAATCACCCCCCAGAGGGGATGGCCACGCTGCAATCCCTTCTCCTCCATTCTCCTCTCGGGATCTTGGGCACGCACGCACACGCACCTGGCGTGAGTTTAAGCCACTGGGTCCGGGACTCGAACTATGATTGACTACCTGGGAGTCCAGCAACATAGCCATTACACCAACTGCTGGTCCCGTCTCTGCACTTTTTACATTGGGTTACAGAAGATGCTAGCACAATGGTAAAACATGATGCTCTGGAAGGCTGACCCACAGGGGAGGGTTCTGGGTTCAAGACTGGAGACCTCCCTGAGTACTCCGGGCATGCACGTACCTACGATCTGGGGCACTGGGGCAACTGTGGTTGGGCACGATCATAGCTTTGGGTCCCCGTTGGGAGTGCTGCCTCTCTTTCTCTATCTCTGTCATTCATGGAAGGGTAAGAAACTTAAAAAACAACCCTATTGAAGACTGGAGCGCTCAGCCTGCCACCGAAGACTGGTCTGCAGCCCCCACTGCTCAGGCCACTGAATGGGTGGGAACAACCATTGAGTGGTCTTAAGTCTGCTCTTCCACAGACTCTTATACAAAGTGGAAATAAGGTTGATAAGGAAAATAAACAGTTTATTTAAAAAAAAAAAGAATGAAAAAAGATAACAGACAAGAAAAACAAAAGGAATACTACAGGTGAATATCCCTGGTGCTGGACATTCCCACATGGCTGACCATGGTTTGAGTCCTGGACCTGGTGGCTTGCTTTCTCACTTTCTCTCTCTCTCTGGCCAAAATAAAATAAATGCATGAGTAAATAAAGTTAAATAAATATTTTTTTAAATTAAGTAATTTATTTTTAATTTGACCAGAGAGGGACAGAGCAAGTAACCAAGCAAGAGAGAGAGAGAGGAGAGAGAGAAAGAGAGAGAAGGAGGGAAAGTGAGAAAGTAAGCTGTCAGGTCCAGGACTTGAACCGCAGGCAGCCACATGAAGCCCAGCGCCCTTAACCACCATGTCACCTGCTGGCCCCAAAATAAATAATAAATAACTCTAAAAAACAAACAAAGAAACAAACAAACTACCACTTGGGCCACCATATGGCCTTATTGTTCATGGAGCTGGGTCCCACAAGGCTTACTGTGGGGTTGAGGTTCTAGTGCACCAGCTCGAAAAACACGCCAAGTGGGAACCAGCAGTTGGCGTAATGGCTATGTCGCTGGACTCCCACGTAGTCGACCGCGGTTCGCGTCCCAGACCCAGTGGCTTAAAACTTACGCTGGGCACGTGTGCATGCGTGCCCAAGATCCCGAGAGGAGAATGGAGGAGAAGGGATTGCAGCGTGGCCATCCCCCGCTGGGGGGGGTGATTTCTCGCTTTCTGTCTCTCTGTCTCTCTCTGTCTGTCTGGCGAGCGCACGTGCCCTATAGCGAAAAAAAAAAAAAAAAACATGCCAAGTGCATGTGTGTATGCAAAAAGTCTGAACAGGTTGGAGAGGTAGAGGAGAAGAGATTGCAATGCGGCCACACCTGTTTGGGGGACATTTTTTCCCTCTTCCTCCCAATCCATCTCTCTCTGGTGAGTGCACACAACCTCAGCAGAAAAAAGAAAGAAAAAAAAAATCAGGGTAGTGGGCTGCAGGTGGCATAGTGGTACTGGTCTCCCACATGGCCGATAGTAGTTCGAGTCCCAGACCTGGTGACTTGAAAATCATGCTGGGGGGACCAGCAGACGGCGTAATGGTTTACAACACAGAATTCCCACATATTCCGTCACAGTTGGAGTCCCGGAACCAGTGATTTAAAACTCACACTGGGCGCATGTGCACCTGTGCACAAAATTCCAAGAGGAGAATGGAGAAGGGATTGCGGCATGGCCATCCCCCCTTGGAGGGGTGATTTCTTGTTTTTCTGTCTCTCTGGTGAGCACATGCGCCCTATTAAAAAAAAAAAAAAAAAAAAACACTTTTACAAAAAA